TCTCTCTCTCTTTCTCTCTCTCTCCCTCCTTCCCTCCCTCCCTCTCTCTCTCTCTCTCTCTCTCTCTCTCTCTCTCTCTCTCTCTCTCTCTCTCTCTCTCTCTCTCTCTCTCTCTCTCTCCCTCTCCCTCTCCCTCTCTCTCCCTCCCTCCCTCCCTCCCTCCCTCCCTCTCTCTCTCTCTCTCTCTCTCTCTCTCTCTCTCTCTCTCTCTCTCTCTCTCTCTCTCTCTCTCTCTCCCTCCCTCCCTCCCTCCCTCCCTCCCTCCCTCCCTCCCTCTCCCTCCCTACCTACCTCCCTCCCTCCCTCCCTCCCTCCCTCCCTCCCTCCCTCTCTCTCTCTCTCTCTCTCTCTCTCTCTCTCTCTCTCTCTCTCTCTCTCTCTCTCTCTCTCTCTCTCTCTGTCTCTTTCTCTCTTTTTCTTTCTCTCACTCTCTCTCTCTCTCTCTCTCTCTCTCTCTCTCTCTCTCTCTCTCTCTCTCTCTCTCTCTCTCTCTCTCTCTCTCTCTTAAAAAAAGAGCATAGTGTTATCGGGTTACCGTATTTTACCGGTTGTAAGTCGACCCCGGTTATAGGTCGACCCCCGTATCCGGAGGTCTCAATTCTGCGTTTTAAAGATTTCACCCAAAGAAGGCCTACTAACCACTCCCTGCTATTAACACATCAACAAATCATATAAACATTCCTTATTGGAGGTTATAACATCCCAATCCTTGAAAAGACCAATAAACTGGAAAAAATGCGTACACATAGTGCACTCGTGCAGGCAGTGCAGGTCATTTTTTTGTAAGAGTCTGATAGTTCCCGGTTATAAGTCGAATCCCGGTTGTAAATCGACCCCCACCCTTTCTCCTTCTATTTTAAGTCGTAAAAAGTCGACTTACAACCGGAAAAATACGGTACTAGTATTCGGTTTACTCAATCTGCAGAGAGCTAGTTGCTTTGACCTTGTGTACTATAAAACGGGAAAATTTCGGCGGAGATGTATTTTCGGTAACTGAAGTTACAGGTCATTTTACCTAAAATATAACGCGACCTAAAATTCAACAATGCCATCATACACAGTGTGCAAAATGAACTTTTGGGCAGGGACAACTGGTTAACCGAAATGTTCGCGCTACCGAACCGTTGATGTCGGGAAATACCGAAAATGTAACGCCGCCGAAAATTCCCGGCTTTAAAGTATTCGTAAGCGTACTTCAAAAGTAGCTCGGGTTGACCGCCGGAACTGATCGCAATGCGCTCTAGTGAAGAGCAAACCTTCTTCAAACTGCCTCAAAGCCTCACGATGAGAGTGCTCGAAGACTGTGAAAAGCACAGCAAGCTTTCCATGAGGACATGAAACTTTGACATTCATCAGAAAGATTTTTCGACTAAAGCGGGATGGGGGGGGGGGGGGGTGTAGTGCTCAATCTCCAGTGGGTAAGGAGTAGCTGAGGATGTAGTCAAGAAGGGTGTTCCCCTGCTTCAAGAATGCTCAATGCCCGTATGGGGCAGAGCTGTTGGCCGCGATTGTACTGGTTGCCCTGGACTAGAAACTTGCAGGGAACGCGGATTGGATATTCGTGAGAGGTTGCGTGACACCGGGTCAACGTGTTCACTGCATACGTGCACTTGGGCGAGTGCAAACTACGAAAATATGCAGAACACAAAGTTCGTGCGAAAATTTGCACACAAGGCTTGCGTGAAAATCCGCACACAAGGCCTGTCGCGAAAATTCATTCGAATGCAGAACCTCTCTAATGATGTCAGTCTGTTGGTGTGTGTGTGTGTGTGTGTGTGTATTTATGTATGTATGTGAGCATGTGTTATTGTGTTTGTGTGTGTGCGTGCGTGTGTGTGTGTGAGTGTGTATGTGCGCGTGCGTGTGTGTGCATGTATACATATGTGTGCATGTGTGTGTGTGTGTGTGTGTGTGTGTGTGTGTGTGTGTGTGTGTGTGTGTGTGTATGCGTGCACATCTGTGTGTGTATGTGTGTTTGTGTGCGTATGTGTGTGTGTATATGGTTGTGCACACACACACAGGTTGGACTAAACCAGGCAGCACGGGTGATAACCCGGGAGATGGTGGTCTACCGGGCTACGTCGTTGCCTTAATTGTTATACTGGTACTCGCTGGCCTCATTGCTCTTGCTGGCCTACTTTTTCACCGTATGAAACTGTGATGATATTGGAACTATATCATTTGGTGCCATTAAATATCCCTATACATATACATATACAGTAACTATAACCTTCACATCCTCATATTTACACCTGTCCATATATGACATTAGAATAGCATGCTGCGTACTACTTCCCGTACTACCGGTACCTTTTCTAGTACTCACATATTGTACAACTTTACACACCAAGATAAAATAACAAGGATGACAGCCCTTCAGGGTAAGGCGGTGTTTACATGAGGCGTTTCAACCCGGGTTGAGTTCGACCCGGGTCAGATTTCAACCCGCCATGTGCATAAAATGAATTGCGCGTTTACATGACGCATTGCGCTTGACCCGGGTTGAAATGTCGCCCCGGGTTGATTTCAACCCTCCCCCCAAGGGGAGGGTTGAAATCAACCCGGGTGAAGAAAATCGTACAAACGTACTTCTTAGCGTATCTCGCGCCAGGTTTGGACGGCACTGCAGATGCAAATTTCGCGCGAACGGATTCACGTGACCATACAGGACTGTAGAAGTGGACTTTTGGCGGCATATCAGTATTTGACCCGGGTCAACTGACTTCATGTAAACGCTCACCTCTTTTGTCTATCGTACAGACTTTCAACCCGGGCTGAACTCGACCCGGGTTGAAATTTCTCATGTAAACACAGCCTTAGTTGTCGGTTAGCCGGACAAGAGTGGGTTGTTGGTGTGTCCTCCCCTAGGCCCTTCACATGGTGTCAGAAGTGGTCCAGTCACTACTGTGTATGTGTGTCAGTACTGCGTACCTCCGTCGTTGCTGAAAGTTTGCGTAATTTTATTTCTAGTTTTTCGTTTTTTCGAGTTCGTGGGGCCGCAAGTGAGCTAGCCATGGATCTCGAGTCGTTGGCGTTTGCTCGCCACGAGCAGTTGAGGGACATCTGCCGGGGGCTGCATCTCCCCACCGGTGGTGCACGCTCTGATCTTGTGCGGCGGATCCTCTCCGTATCGCACAGCAGTGCGCGGATGGATCGGGAGATCGACACTGAGTTCGAGGAGGTGGCCCCAGATGATGACGAGCTCACTGGCTTACCTGATGCTGCTACCAGGTCGACGCTCCCTTCTCCACCCATGGATTTGTTTCGTCCCGCACCGTCTCCGAAACCTCGCTTGCCGAAAGTAAGTGATAATCCTTATTTCGGCAACAGTAATATTGTGAGCAACAAATGGACCGTATGCGTGTTAAAACAAAATGGCGTCACGATTTATTGAAAGTGGTATAGTTGGTGGTACGAGTGTTCAAACCCATTTGAACTTCATACTGTTCGTCTTCTTTTTGACATGCTCTCTTTCCATCGTCCTTAGCTTTTGTTTGTTGAGAGCTGTTTTGGCTTTCTCCTATACCTCTGGGGGATGCCAAGTGATGGTTTTGAGAGGCTGGTGATGGCTGTGAGCGAGAGTTTGCCGATCGGCGTCGTCCTCGCTATAGCGATGAAAATACTAGTCACTGCGCACCTGGCAGATATCACAACACGTCGGAGCGTCCAGGAGCAAAGGAATCTTGGGTTTTCACTGGAATCTAGTTCCTCCAGCATCGTGTAGCCCACCGTCGGTGAATGGCGGTCCAGAAAGGTCGAACCTGGTCTTCTGCAGCATCTCGCAGTCCTGCGAGGCACACTGAATACGCCTGTCATGTATTCTACAAATAAAAATCACGAAGTAGTGGACTTTACAGTGATGAGTCTATCCTGTATGCTGCAAAAGACGCAGGAAATGTGACTGGTGTCCGTACACTGGACGCCAATATCATCCCAGTCTTCTCCTGCAGGATCTGTTTGACATTGACATACCGGTATGCAGTGAGTCGACATTGGCCTGGTTGGGCAGCTATCTGCCTGGGTGGATGTAGCAGGTTTGCATTGGCGCGTCGTCCAGTCCGACTTCTTCTTGTTACTGTGGAGTACCGGCAGGGTTTGAGAGGTTGCTCGTGCTGTGAACACATCTCTACTGCCTGTCTCGTCCTGGAAGTGCCGTCTCGCCGCTTCCTTGCTCTACAGTCACGCCGTTATTTCGCTTTGTTCCGTGGTGCAGCTCAAAACCTGCCCAAACAACTGTGAGCTCGCAACATGGTATGGACAAATTGCACCACTCATGCTGGTTAACTAAAACCGGGATAGTCGAGTAAGCGAGTTCACTCCCTGGGCCATGGCAAGATCTGTTCAGCGCGGGCTATTCCAACCTCCAAGTGCATAGTCACCGATCGATCCATGCGATGGTGGTTGACCTACAAAGAGCCAAGGTCTACGAATACTACTATTGGATGTTGTTGTTGTTGTTGTAGAAGTTTATTTAACGTCGCACCACAAACAGGCGATTTCGCCTCCTTTGATACATGTGGACGACAGAAGGAATGAGAGAGGGGGACAGAAGTATGGAGAGAGGAAGGGTAGAAATAAATAAGCAATCAACCTCAGGGCTACACCAAAGCAAAAACGGAATGGGAACATACTATATACAAAATAGCTTCATACATATATTGCAAAACACGTTTACTATTCTTCAGTCCGCTATACCACAGAAACACACTAGCCGAAAAGCATTTAAGCGGAGCCATGATGCGCTTTTAGCAGGGTACAGAACTGAAGGTGGCTGGGCTCGGAACGGAGATCAGGCGGGAGCTGGTTCCACAGGACTGCGCCGATGAACTGCATGGTCGCTCGACCCGCAGGACCGGGCCAAAATGGTACTCGAACGAGGTGATGTGCTGCTCCCCGAGTGCGGTCACCAGTAACTCTCACGAAGAAGCTGGTGAAGAGGGAGCTAGCTCGGGAGAACAGACAACGACGGACAAAGATGAGGAGCTTAATGTTAAACATGTCCTCCAGGGTGGTGAGGCGGAGCTGTTCAAAGATCGGGCTCGTGCGCGACCACGGTGGCAGACCGAAGAAGCCGCGGATAGCGCACTTCGTTAGACGTGTGAGGGGCTCCATGTTGCCAATTTGAAGTGACGGATAAAAGGCGTTGGAAGCGTACGACAACCTACCCTGGATCATCGACCTGTAAAACAGGATCTTTGACGCCAGGGTGAGGCTTCGGCGGCTCCGCCACAGCGCACCTACTGACTTCCGCACCTGCTGGATTGTGTGATTGACGTGAGGCTCCCAGGAGAGCTGCCCATCTACCATTACGCCCAGGTACCGCGATTGTTCCACAACTGCAAGGGCTGCATTCCCACAGCGAATTCGAATGTTATCTATGTCAGGGGCTGGGCCTCTTGGGGTAATCAACAGAGCTTGCGTTTTCTTTTGGTTCAGCATGGGATGCTGTCTACATGCAGTCAACAAAATCAAAGTACCTTAGTATGCTCCAGAATAGGGCATGTGCATCTATAGCATGACACAACAGGGGTTCTGGCGGCACCTGTCAAACAAGCAGTAGCGACTAGTGCCAGCTACCTATTGGAAGCTAGCCGCTACAGTCTGTCACTGGAGATAATTATTATGTTCACTGTTTAGACTGAGCACAATCAATGATGCCCAATCAATCTGCCCAATGTGTGTTCTGTTCCACCTAATTATAACGTCCCATCGCATCAACCCTACTACACGCACATGTCGTCACTCTAGCACGACTTGTGTTATTAATATTGTTTATTTTGATTCACACGATAAAAAGAGCACAATAAACGTTAACTTGACCGAAGGTTAAAGGCGACTGCAGATAGAGGAACACATCGAGTTACAGGTACCGGCATCAATACAGTATCAGAGATAAACAAACAAAAATGAGAGGTACGCAGAAAAAACTCTCGTAAGCCCAAGGGGAAGTGGTTGATGAGGGATGAATGCACTCTCCACGCTCATCTACACTGTTCGTGGAAATGCACACATACATACAATAATATACAACATAGCAATAGCATGCACAGAACCGAACAATTTCATGTTCACACATGCAAGCACAGACCTGAACATTAGTACCAAAAGCCGATACAGACAATATCCCCATACACACAGACGCACACACACACACACAATGTCCCATGTATGCGCCCGTGGCGAGAAAATCACGCAAATCTACAAATGCACTGGATGTGAACCCACAGATTTTCTCTTATAGCAACGATAGCGGATCTGATTCTGAATGAAACACACACACAATACAATCATTGAATGCCCATCCGCAGATGATGGCAGGTCCTGAACGAACAGGCAGTGTTCCAGTGATGGGGAACAGAACTTCGAGTGGCGAGTGAGGTATACACACACACACACACGTGCGTGCGCGGGCACACACTAACGTATTCAGAAATATATTCAACATCGTAGTATTCATTGGTTGGGGAATGGAAAATAGAACATTGCTGTAGGTTATTGTTGTAAGGACACTGGGAGCACAACAGAAAGGTAAGCAACTTGCTTTGAAGCAAAGAAAGTTATTATTCCACGGATCTCAGAAGGAAGGAACGTTCCAGAATGCTGCTCTGGCAACAGGCGGCCTGCATGTGCGCGGCCCCTGCAGTCGGTCCAGCTGCCGGCCTTGCAGTGCTGAAAAGAATGTGCAGTACAGCATGTCACATAGTATCGCAGCCTGGACAAATAGGCGCTGGGAAGTCCTAGTTATGTGCTCACCTACACCACGATGCACCAATCTTCTGAGCTACTTTGGCAACAACTTTGTCCACTTGAGACTCCCATGGGTGAGCCAGTTGTTGAGGGCTGCACCAAGGTGGACGGCAATGACCGCTGATGGCAAGGCAATCCATGACACACAGTCACTAGGGCATCGTCAACATGGCGCTGAGGCTGGATCGATAAAATCAACCCGGCTTTAGGCTGCCGCGGGCCGGTTGACAACGAGGCCGCTGTCTCGAAGCTAGTCAGTCAGCCTGGTCACCGCCATTGACGAACCAGTCGCCACTGGCAGTGGCGGTAGGTTGTGACAAGTGTGGTGCAATATTGTCAGCAAATTCAGTACTCAGGATAAGATGAGTGACAAAGGGAACGTTGTGTTTGATAATATTGAAGTGAACAGGGATGATCACAAACCCTGCACGTACTCCACCATGAGTTACAAGAAAATTCCGGACTGGACGACGAGCAAACACCAACATTGCTGCATCCAACCAGGCAGATACTATTACGATAGCTGCCAAACCAGGTCAATGCCGACCTACTGCATAATGTCAATGTCAAACAGATCCTGCAGGAGAAGACTGGGGTGTTGGCGTCCAGTCACTGAGTGTACAGACACCAGTCACATTTCCTGCGTCTTTTGCAGCATACAGGATAGACTCATCACTGTAAAGTCCACTACTTCGTGATTTTTATTTGTAGAATACATGACAGGCGTATTCAGTGTGCCTCGCAGGGCTGCGAGATGCTGCAGAAGACCAGGTTCGACCTTTCTGGACCGCCATTCACCGACGGTGGGCTACACGATGCTGGAGGAACTAGATTCCAGTGAAAACCCAAGATTCCTTTGCTCCTGGACGCTCCGACGTGTTGTGATATCTGCCAGGTGCGCAGTAACTAGTATTTTCATCGCTATAGCGAGGACGACGCCGATCGGCAAACTCTCGCTCACAGCCATCACCAGCCTCTCAAAACCATCACTTGGCATCCCCCAGAGGTATAGGAGAAAGCCAAAACAGCTCCCAACAAACAAAAGCTAAGGACGATGGAAAGAGAGCATGTCAAAGAGAAGACGAACAGTATGAAGTTCAAATGGTTTTGAACACTCGTACCACCAACTATACCACTTTCAATAAATCGTGATGCCATTTTGTTTTAACATGAATATCGCGGATTAGATTACAACAGTGAGCAGTCCTTTGCAATGAACCAGTCGCAGTTTCAGGCCAATCAGGGTTCTGCTCCTACTACTAGTACTACTACTAGTACTTACCATACGCATGACGCACCTGCACTGGCTTCCGCTAGCCGTCGTACTCGTACTGGGCGTACACATAGCCATACTAAGGTTGCATGCTCTACTCCGGAGCCAAAAGCGGTCCACGTCCACCGTCAGCCCGTACATGTCGCTTTTGGTGAGGATCCCGTGTATGGAGACCCTAGGCCTAGTAGTAGTACGCGAATGACTGTTGGGACATTCTTCCAAAACATGACGTCACAGAATTCGTAAAAAAAAAGACAACTTTTGTCGCAAGCGGCTAGCCCTTCGCGCTCGCGAGACTCATCTTGGGCGCGCTCGAGCTGCGAAGCGCGACACACGCGCGCGACCCAAACTGTGTCACGTGTGTGTCGAATCTGACCGTCATTATGATCGCCTTCGATAAGTATTAGTTTTATTTTCGTTCTACTCGACAATTCCAAAAATCAGTGCCATTGGCTTTAGCTTTGCCCTTGAACTTGAAATCTCGTGCCTTATTCTTTCCTGGGGACTGGTGTTGGATATTGAACGGGCGGAGTTACCGCCGGGATGATGGATGAAGGAGATGATGGCCTAAACTTGGCTGCGCGCATTCTCATTTTCGCGTGGCCTGCCACTAGTGTTTCGCAGATTCACAAAGGGTGTCACAGGCATAGCTGGAGGAAGAAAGGTGAGAGAATCGGTTGCACAGTGCAGATCAACCCAACCATTTGGTTGTTTTAATTTTACTTCGCACAGTCAAACGGGATGACCACCCAATAAAATTTCCGAACGTGACATTTTTGTAATTTATTGATTTTCCCGCATTATACCACAGTTTATTGTTCAGGTTATTTCGCTTCAACTTTTGAGGTATGAATTCCTTAACTGCAGACTCGACATGCAAGCTCCATACTGACCAGGCTGTGTCAACATCAGGTCACGGCTTGTTTGACTTTGTCCGTTAGGCTGTGTTTGCATAGATATTCTGATGGCGTCAAAGACAGTTAGAGATTTTGTTGGTTGTGTGTCGGGGGTATTGTCCCCGCCGAAACTGAATGCAAGTTTAAGAAAGACTAGGTCTAGTGAGTTATGATCAGAAGTGTCCTGTGGGTCTAGCCCTCAGCCCCTCTGCGGCAAGCAGTAAACTATATTTACACCAAAAAGCGCAAGACAAGACTTGATTTTTTACGCGGCTCTTTTCGCCATGATAATTATTGTACACGTGTTTTGAAAATTTGAAATACTCATGGCAACTGGTGGGTGAATCATTCAAAAATGCAAACGTGCCCGCTGTTGAGTGCAGCCATGTGAATCCACACAGTCACTTTTCTCGTAAATCACTCGCCGTAAAACGTGCAAGTGGCTGTCGTGTGAATCGCCTATAACTGACTGTCTGCAGTTGTCGAAGTATTTCCCTGCACTCACTGTACTTTGTTAGAAATGTAGTCGATCTACGGAAAGTCTTACGTAAACTGCATGCGCATCTGGGTTCCGCCATACGGAGTTTTCAAATCATAGCAGACTCAGCGGAGGACGTTCAGGTATTACCGGTATTTTACGACTCCCTGGTCTACAGTACACTACACAGTCAGTGCAACAAGTGTATGAAAGTCCCGGCCTGGAGCAAAAAAAAGAAAGGAAAAAAGTACGAATAATCAAAAAAATTAATTCAGCCAGCACTCTTGACAACCCTACTCCTTTTTGCCCGAGGACGGATTTTTTAATTTTTCGAAAAATACAGACGACTCCTTACCTGTTCATTGGTTGAGGGAAAGATGCAAACGGGAAAACGTCTGAAGAAAAAATTGACTGGCGCCACCAGGACTCGAGCCAGGCGCCTTCACTTGAGGGCAGCAGTGCTCTAACCCTTCTTTACCGTTGAGGTTCAGTGTAAAAAGGTGTGACTAACTGTACTGTTTACAATGCGGCCGTGTGTGTGTGTGTGTGTGTTTGTGCGTGTGTGTGCGCGTGTTTGTTGTGCACTGCAGGTTTTCTGGCTGATTCCTCCGACCCCAATCAATCTTCAGATCTATGAGCAGTGGGTGTTGTCGGGTAAACAGCAGGATATATTCCTGGGTGACATGGTCGAGAAGTGTGCCCGCGTCGAATTGAAACCAGGCTGGACTTTTGTCATTCCTACTGGTGAGTGAGATTGTGTAAGTGTGTGTATGTATGTATGTATGTGTGTGTGTGTGTGTGTGTGTGTGTGTGTGTGTGTGTGTGTGTGTGTGTGTGTGTGTGTGTGTGTGTGTGTGTGTGTGTAAGTGTGTGTAAGTGTGTGTATGTATGTGCCAGCTAGTTCGGTTGGTTGGTGCCTTTATGCCTGATTGTGTTGGGTCTGTTGCCAACGGGCTCGGCTGCTTGAAGGTGTAATGCGTGTGTGTGTGTGTGTGTGTGTGTGTGTGTGTGTGTGTGCATGTATGTGTGTGTTTGTGTGTACGTGTGTGCATGTGTACGCGCGTGTGTGTGTGTGGTTGTGTGTGTGTGTGTGTCTGTGTCTGGGTTGCCACACCTGCCGACATGTCAGTAGCCTGCTGATTTTGGAGGCATTTCACGACCCGCCGACGATTGACCTTTTCCTGCCGACAACAGACATGAAAATGTCCCGTTCTGACGTTATGCTTCGTTTAGAACTAAATTAGAACATAATAGAAGGCATGTTCCAGATTTTTGCTCTTACTGGTCATCGTGTTTGTTTTCATTGCTCTCTCCTATGGTGCTAAGTGAAATCATTATTCTGTCTCGGGGGAAAATCTGATAGCTCAATCTGAGTTTCACGCAGACCCGTGATTTTTTAAAGGGGAAGTATACCCTAAAATCAAATTTTCACCAGTTGTAGTCTTCGGGGTGCTGAGTCGAATGGTCTTGGTCCGAGGAAGCTGCGACGCTCCCTTCCTTCTTTTTTCCCAATCGAACTCGCGCACTTCCACCGAAACTGGGTGACTGCGCCCTACTAGATGGGGATTTGTATGCAAAATGTCACTAAAAGCGCCATGTCATTCTTATAAAAGCACGGATGACCGCGATTGGCCCATGTGTTGTAGTCGTTTGGACGCTGAGTCGACTAGTTTTGGTCCGAAAAAGGCTGCGATGCAGCGTTCCTCCTTTATTCCCAATCGAACATGGTTGAACAAGCGGTCACGTGCTCCAGGGTGCCCAACTCACCTGGTCACCGCGCCAGCAGGCGACAACTTTCACACCAAGGTTCAACTCGAGTGACAGGACTGCACCCAAAAAAGGTCAAACAGGCTAGTAAGTTGTACCCTGCAGGCACGGTGACTGGTGTACGCGGGAGCATGTGACCGCTTGTTCAACCATGACTCAGCGTCTAAAAGACTACAACATAGGAGGAAGGGAGCGTCTCAGCTTCCTCGGACCAAGACCATTCGACTCAGCACCCCGAAGACTACAACTGGTGAAAATGTGATTTTAGGGTATACTTCCCCTTTAACAGTGCGCTTTGTGTGCATGTGTATACTGGGGTTACTATGATGGGGGTCTGGGGGCAAAAAGCCCCCAGATGATGCATTTTATTTTTTCATCCTACTGATATTTGGCCAAAGTGATGTGGCAACACTGTGTGTGTGTATGTTTGTTCGTTGACAGGCTGGATTCATGCAGTTCACACTCCTGTGGATTCGCTAGTGTTTGGTGGAAACTTTCTGCACAGTTTCAACATAAGCGGTCAGCTTGCCGTGGCGGACATTGAAGAAACTACAAGGTACGTGAGCTCCTGTGCATGCAAGTGGATTTCCTTGCACTTCTCAGTTTGGGAAATGCTCAATTATGATAATTCTGCGTGCGAGTGCACTAGCCCTGAACATAAATGTAGGTGACCCGTTTGTGGTGTCTCATAGCCTACCTCACGACCTTCTGCTTTCTTTCTGCATCACTTGTATCTTGCAGGTATATCATCTCGTGACGACCACATTTAAGTCTGAATTTGAAGTGCGAAGATGCTTCAGCAACCACATCGTACTTTTCCATTGCTTTCATTGTGCTTCTACTGTGCATGTGTGTAACTTGTGGGGTATATATGTGATGACATTGTATGCTGGCGACACGGTCAGATTTTGTCCATGCGTGTAACGTACACCTGCATGTTATGCATTGAAAAGGATCTGCCACTTGCGATCCTGGGACAAGTATCAGGTCAGCTTTGTCTTGTGTGGGCTGTACCAGATTGCTGTTCACTTTTCCATCTGTTGGATATGTGACTTTCTGCAAGTCTCTGGTGTGTGGTGGCCACTTCTTTGCTTGTCACTTTGTATGATATTACATTCTGTATTCGCTGCTTCCATGGCGTGGTCTGCAAACTGCAATCCTTGGGCAAATGTCATGTTTGCTATGTTGTGCTTTGGCCGTCAGCTTGTCTACACGTTGTAGTTGAATTATTTTGTTCCACAACTGACTTCCTTTTAAAAGTACGGTGGCCACTGCTTTGCATGGCATTTTACATGAAGAATTTCCTGTTTGTGTCGTGTGCATGTGCGTATGTGTGCGTGTACCGTGTGCATCCGCGTGTTTGTGTATCTGTGTGCGGGGTAAGCGAGGTGGGGAGGGCTGGTATGTATCAGTGTGTTATCGCAGTCTCATGCCTACATACAGTACATCGCGCGCGTGTTCATCATGTTTACCTTCGGGGTTGGGGTGGGGAGGGAACAGAAAAAAACTGAAATTATCCATATAAAAATCGCTCTGTGAGCGGTTCTGAAAAACCTTTACTGGCGCTGCCCCGTCGTAAAAGTAAGAAATTAAAACTGGCCCATTGTCCCCCCAAATGTGAACTGATCCACCTAAATCGGGAATGACGGGACCCGAACGCACCAGTAGCACGAGGTCGGGAGGGCACAGGATCACAGCACATCATAGGGTAACACCATCACTAGTACATGGTATCAGTGGCAGTGTAACTTTGCTAGTACAAGTACACATAGTTACTTCCATCGGATATCCAACATGGGAGTTCATCGACGACCATGGCCTGTGGACCAGCGTCCCCAGCTGCATCCACAGGTAGGAACCTGATTGATTGATTGATTGATTTTATTTGGATTTGCGAGACCAAACGAGCAGGAGTGCTCAATAACAGGGTAGCGAATGGTTGAGTTGTGCTATGTGACAATGTAGTGTGTGCGGAGGCCCAATACGATGTAAGGGGATGGGAGGAGAGAAGGCCAGCGGAGAGTCAAACTCAGAAGAGGGAGGAGAGAATAACTGAAGTACACATTTACTGTGCGAATTCAAATAAACCAGACAAACAGCAAAACGAGTACACAACTCACGAGAATAAATAGGACTGGAGCACAGAATTGAACTGCTGAAGTACACAGCTGACGAGAATAAAGACAGGAGCACAGAAATGAACGGAAGGCAGTCTACGAAGTGGTGGTACCACCGGTGCATGCACCACGGTACATTATCACATTATCGGCTTTGCAAAGTTCGTGGGTACTGAATACCATGGTATGGCCAACTGTGTAGCAGTCTACAACGACTTACGTGTAGGGAATGGCAGCTTGGCGGAATGCTGGGATGTTGCCCATAGCTCGCACCGTGTCAGGTATATGGTTCCATAACAGGCAACCGCGAGATGCCGGTCGGCATTGGCCTGCTCGGCTTCTGGCTATTGGTTGTTGTAGGTCCAGACTGCGCTGAAGGCGAGTTGCTCCGCAGTTGCGAACAAACAGTGCCTGCAGAGCAGGACTGGCACGGTTATGAACGCACCGCCATACCAGCACGAGCAGTTTCTGGCGATATACCTCGTCCATGCGATAAACAGAGAGCCTCTCCAAGAGATCACTGGCCCTGGTAAATCGTGGTCGTCCGAACACCGCCCTTGCTGCGCGGTTTTGGGCCACCTGCAAGCGATTTAGCTGGTTGTGGGTCAAGCCGGAGCCATATGCTGACGATCCATATATCAAATCCGGCATGATGACAGATAGGAAGTACTTGCTTCAACTAGCTAGAGTGAGGCAGCGTCGCACCCGCCACAGACTACCGATCTTCCTAGCAGTGGGTGAGATGCACCGGTCAACTTGCGGTTGTCAGGTCATTCGTTCATCGATCAAGACGCCGAGGTATTTCGCGCTGGTGGTGTGCGGAAGCACATCATTTCGACAGCGTACACCCACGTCCGGCTGCTGCCCACTGCTGCTGGTAAAAACCAATACATTACTCTTCTTTGCATTTAATACAAGACCACGAGCGTCCAGCCAACTTGAGAGGGAAGTAACCGCCAAGCTGAGCGCATCAGACACCTCTTGCGCTGTCCGTCTTGCACATGTCAGGGCGATGTCATCCGCAAACTGCAGTGATGATGCCGGCGCAGATTCCGAGGGGATATCTCTGGTGTATATGGAGAACAGCATGGGTCCTAGTACAGAGCCCTGCGGCACACCACAAGTGCACCCTCGTGCTACTGCTGCGTTCGGGTCACGTCATTTGCGATTTAGGTGGATCAGTTCACATTTGGGGGTACAATGAGCCAGTTTTAATTTCTTACTTTTACGACGGGGCAGCGCCAGTAAAGGTTTTTCAGAACCGCTCACAGAGCGGTTCAAGTTTAAATATATGGATAATGTAAATAATACTCAATATGCTACCTGTGGTGTGGTGCAAGCTCAGCACTGAGCTAAATCAAACATACAGCCTACACAGCCTCTAATGGCCCTCTATACAGTGCTGCGATGGCAGAACTTCTGAAGTTCACATCACCTTTCTTCCTCCAGCTATGCCTGTGACACCCTTTGTGAATCAAACACTACAGGCCACGCGAAAATGAGAATGCGCGCAGCCAAGATTAGGCCATCATCTCCTTCATCCATCATCCCGGCGGTCACTCCGCCCGTTCAATATCCAACACCAGTCCCCAAGAAAGAATAAGGCACGAGATTTCAAGTTCAAGGGCAAAGCTAAAGCCAATGGCACTGATTTTTGGAATTGTCGAGTAGAACGAAAATAAATAATCGAAGGCGATCATAATGACGGTCAGATTCGACACACACGTGACACAGTTTGGGTCGCGCTCGTGTGTCGCGCTTCGCAGCTCGAGCGCGCCCATGATGAGTCTCGCGCTTGCGACAGGCTAGCCGCTTGCGACAAAAGTTGTCTTTTTTTTACGAATTCTGTGACGTCATGTTTTGGAAGAATGTCCCAACAGTCATTCGCGTAGTAGTACGCACGAACTGAGTGATCAGGCGCAGGCCAGCACTAGTCGTACACGTACACCCGCAGGTCCGCATGCCCCGCACGTGCACATCGATCCTGCTGCTGAGAACCCTGAGCTAGCCTGAGGCTGAGGCTGAACACGAACAGCGTTCCGCCACCGATGTCGATGTCGATGTCGATGTCGACTCGCCGTCCCAGCTGTCGATGCTCACGCAGTTGGTCACGCAAATGGCGCAAGTGCAACTCACTCAGGCCACACGGCGATTCTCTCAGAAGGTGCCACTGGCTAAACTGCACCCTGGGGACGATGTTGAGGCATTCCTCACCAGTTTCGAACGATCCATGCGGGCGTACAGAGTTCCTCCGGACGATTGGGTCTATTTGCTAAGCCCCCAGCTGACTGACAAGGCCTTGTTGGCATACACGGAACTTGCCTCCACTGAGGCTGACAGCTACGACCGCGTGAAGGAGGCCATTCTCCATCGCTATGCCGTTACCCCCGAAACGAGCCGCCGTAAATTTCGGGGCACTACGCTGCAGAGCTCGGAGTCCATGATTGACTTCGCCGTCCGTGTCCGTGACACTGGCAGTCGTTGGCTAAGCCCCGCATCCTCGCGCGAAGCCATATGTGAGTTGATCCTACTGGAACAGTTCTTGTCTGCGCTTCCTTTTGGTTTACGCACTTGGCTGCGGGAACGCAAACCGTCGTCCCTCGACCAGGCTGCTTCGCTAGCGCAGGACTATCTTGATGCACGGGATCGCGTACAGGAGCCCAGCAGTGGTCGTCTCAGCAGCGGCAGGGAACAGTCTCTTGTCTGCCACATTTGCCAGCAGCGTGGCCACATGGCCAGGGATTGTTCTAAGCGACGGGCACCATTGCCGAACACTGACGCACGTGCCCAGGTGCAGGGGTCATTTGCGTCACCCCGAGACCGGACGTCCGAGTCATCCAACCTTGCTCGAGTTCGCTGGGCTGCACCAACCTCAGGCTCAGCGCGGGACCGGCCAGTATCTTCCCCAGCTAACCCCAGTCAGACCCACTTGTCATCTGACCGCCCAGTGACTTCTCGTCCTGACCGTCCCACACCACCACCGAGACGCCCCATGTCGCAGCCGCGTTGCTATAATTGTCGTGAGCTGGGACATATTGCTATTAAGTGTCCGAATCACACTCGCACCGCTCTGTTTTCCAGCCCAGATCAGGAAGTCCAAGATGCTGGTACAGTTCATTTGCTGCCGGATGAGGATGATCTGCTGGGTGAAGCATATTTCTGCTCACCCCCTCCACCTGTAGACTCTGGTCGGTTGCCCCCCCCCCCCCGCTAATCCCAGCGCCGCCATGGGACCAGCACCGGAGTACACCGTCGCTGGGTACGTGAATGGTACCCACGTCCCGAGCATCGTTGTTGATACCGCGTGTGGCCGCACCATGGTACACAGGACCTTGGTCCGGGACCAAGATTTGTCTGGTGAGACTACCTCCATTCGTTGTGCCCACGGTGATGTGGCCAGTTACCCCATGGCCGATCTGACCATCACCATCGACGGCATGGTGTACTATGTCAAGGCAGCAGTGTCCGAGCACCTGCCCCGTCACGTGTTGCTTGGCCGTGATGTGCCCCACATACATGAGTTGGTCCGGCTGTGTCAGCCAGCCGCCACGGACGTCTTGGTCTCTACGCGTGCACAGGCCAAGGCTTCACCTGAGTCGACTGGTGCTGCTGGTTTGCACGCCAACTTCCCGTTCGAGGATGAACTGTTTGAGGAGTTGGCCTCGAATGCAGCTTCTTTGCGTGCACCGCCGGCGGACCTATCTAGCACACCGGAGGTGACACCGCCACCTATCTCTGCACCCGATTTGCCAGATGCCACCCGTTTCGCCGACGAGCAACGGCGTGACCCATCTCTTAGCCCATGTTGGGACTATGCTACTGGCCGACACAAGACGCCCGTCAATGGCAGTACCTTCTGTGTTCGCCAGGGCCTCCTCTACCGGGAATACTCACCGGATGGTGAAGCGGGGATGGACACCACCAGCCCCTACTACCGCCTTCAGTTGGTTCTGCCCACGGAACGGAGATCCACCATTCTGCACCTCGGCCACACCGTCCCCATGGCTGGCCACATGGGACAGGCGAAGACATCCCAGAGGATTCTTCTCCGTTTCTGGTGGCCGACGATTCTTCAAGATGTCGCACAGTATTGTTCCGCCTGTGAACCATGTCAGCGCACCGCCCGTGTTCTGCGTCATGATCGGGCACCACTTATTCCTCTTCCTGTTATTGGCGAGCCCTTCCGGGTGGTAGCTATTGACATTATCGGCCCATTGCAGCGTACGCAGTCCGGCAAGAAGTACATCCTCACCTTGGTGGATTATGCAACCCGCTATCCGGAGGCAGTCGCTCTTTCCAATATTGAGTCGACTACCGTGGCTGATGCGTTGATCTCCATCTTTTCCAGAGTAGGACTGCCAGACAAAATCCTCTCCGACCAAGGCTCCAACTTTACGTCGGACGTCCTCCGACAAGTTGCTGCTTTACTCCGTATCCAGCTTACCACATCCACTCCGTACCATCAACAGACCAATGGCCTCGTCGAACGGTTCAATGGTACCCTCAAGGGTATGCTTCGTCGGTTTGCTGCTGATGCGCCACGAAGTTGGGACGAGGTGCTCCCATATGCTTTATTTGCGTATCGAGAGGTGCCTCAAGCCAGCACTGGTTTCTCACCATTTGAGCTCCTGTACGGCCGCCATGTCCGCGGCCCGCTGGATCTCGTGCGCGATGCTTGGGCTCAGCCAACGGAGGAGCTCCGGACCACTACTGCCCAGTTCGTCCTCACCATGCGGGACCGGCTTGAACGCATATCGACTGAGGCTGGCTCCCACCTTGCCACCGCGCAGCAACGGCAGAAGGCCTACTATGACCGCCTGAGTCGGGAACGCACATTTGCTCCGGGAGACGAGGTACTGCTCTTGCTTCCGGCTTCGGCTCGCAAAATGGAAGCCGTGTGGCAAGGCCCTTACCCTATTCGGCGTAAGGTCGACGAGGTCAATTATGAGATTGACATGGGACCCCACCGCACGAAGCGATATCGGGTTTTCCACATCAACCTCCTGCGGCGGTTTCGCCGGCCCCAGCTCGCGGCCTTCACCATTCCTATGGCGGAGGACGACCCAGACACGGAGCTGCTGCTTGACGACTGCTCCCCTCTACACGTTGATGGTGGCCGTCCTACCATTAACCCCGACCTTTCGCCGGACCAGCGGCAACAGCTCGACATGCTGCTATCGGAGTTTGAGGATACCCTCTCACCCCAGCCTGGCCGGACGACCGTGGTGGCTCACTCCATCCACACTGGCGACGCCACACCCATTCGTTCCCGGCCATATCGTCTTGCCGCTGCGCACCATTCTGTTGTCCGCGATGCCGTCGACGAAATGCTGGACATGGGCGTCATACGCGCATCCCGCAGTCCGTGGTCTTCACCCGTTGTGCTTGTGCCGAAGAAGGACGACTCGATCCGCTTCTGTGTCGACTACCGTGCCCTTAATCAGGTGGCCCAGTTCGACTGTTACCCGATGCCGCGGGTGGACGAGATCCTCGACTCTGTCGGGTCTGCCCAGTTTCTCTCCACCCTTGACCTGTCCAGGGGGTATTGGCAGATCCCTCTGGCAGAGGATGCGTGTGCCAAGACGGCCTTCACCACACCGTTTGGCCTGTACGAGTTCACTATGATGCCATTCGGGCTCCATGGAGCGCCTGCAACATTTCAGCGTTGCATGGATACCGTCTTGGCTGGTCTCCCGTTTGTCCTGGCGTATTTGGACGATGTCGTCATCTTCAGTCCGACTTTTGAGGACCATCTTGTCCAGCTCCGCCACGTTCTTGGTCGCCTTCACGACGCTGGGCTCACTGTGAAGCCGAAGAAGTGTTTATTGGGTATGGTCGAAACTCCCTTCCTTGGCCATGTGATTGGTCATGGTCGGGTGCGTGCGGACCCTGGCAAGTTGCAAGCCATCGACGATTGGCGACAGCCCACGACCAAGAAGGCCCTGCGTTCCTTCCTGGGGTTGTGCGGCTACTATCGTCGCCTCATTCCTCACTTTTCAACCATCGCGGAGCCCTTGGTAGCCATGACGTCGAAGGGCCACCCCAACACCCTCCACTGGACGACCTCAGCTGCACAGGCCTTCGTTCAATTGAAAGGCCTCCTTGTCTCCGACCCGGTCATTGTTGCGCCGAACTTTGCTGCGGAGTTCTACCTGCACACGGACGCGTCCGATGTTGGTTTGGGCGCTGTCCTGACCCAGCGTAATGCCCAGGGCACCGAACACCCCGTAGCATATGCCAGTCGCAAGCTCCTCGACCGTGAACGCCGTTATGCCACCATCGAGAAGGAGTGTCTCGCCCTCAAGTGGGCCATTCTCAAATTCGCTCCGTATCTCCTCGGCAGACGCTTCACCTTGATTACCGACCACCGCCCTCTTCAATGGATCGCTCAGCATCATAGTGGCAATGCTCGGGTGGCCCGATGGGCCATTGCTCTGCAGCCGTTCGCTTTCACCGTTGTGCACCGGCCTGGCGCTCTCAATGGCAACGCCGATGCATTGTCCCGCCAGATGTGACTTTCTTCTCCTGCTGTGTTGCTCCTAGCTTCTTCATCTATTGCTTCTCTCTTCATTTAGTCATTGTCCCAGATGGTATCTCGGACCGGAGAAGGGGAATGGTGTGATGATATTGTACCTTTATATCCTTTAGTGCCGTTACATCCTATATCTATTGTTTCTCGTTTAGTCAATGTCACAGATGGTATCTGTGACCGGAGAAGGGGAATGGTGTGATGATATTGGAACTATATCATTTGGTGCCATTAAATATCCCTATACATACAGGGGATCCTTGTGGCGTCGAACGAAAGAGACTGTCAGTGTACCTGACTCGTCAGATGTGAACTGTGCTGAACTTTTCTCGTTCTGCAATTTCTGCTTTCATCCCGCGCACTGTTGAAACGACTTCAGAGAATCACAAGACGCTTTCCAGATTTGATTTTGAACGTCTCCTTATCCTCCTTGGTTACCTCGTGACAGATTACTGTCAGCAACTTCATAGCAGAACTGGCAGCCATGGCTGAAGTGAAGAAAGGAATGCGCTGCCACGAGGCAAGCAAAACTGAAAATGTGTTTGTTCTTTTTCGGGCACAACACACAGGACGGCGTGACTGGACTCCTGGACTGTGAATAGGGGACTGGTAGAAAAAGTGTACTCCTTATAGGGGATTGCGCGTCAGGATGAAGCTGATCAAAACTGAGTGGACTCCTGGACTCTGTATAGTGGATTTTGGACCAATGGACTCTATATAGGGTGCTGGACATCATATAGTGCATGGACTCTATACTGAGTCCTACATATACAGTAACTACGCAAGAGGTACACAAAAGGAAGTATATAGGGCTGTTTTTGTTGTAACTCAGAGTTTCATGGCAAAAACCAATCATCAGACAACATAAGGAGATTAGAAAAAACGCAGGTATATGAAGGCAAGCAGAGGAGATAGAATAATTCAGTGCAGACAATATGATAATCATTCAACACCTCCCAGAGGCAGTACGCTCTGACGTGCCAGAATCAACATCTCAGGTGCTGGGTGAAACATGAACACGCACACTCATCCACACACACACACACACACACACACACACACACACACACACACACACACACACACACACACACACACACACACACACACACACACTAATCCACACACAACCTCTCGTTCTCACACACTCCACACTCCCGCATTATCACACCTATACACATGCGCACGCACACACACACACACACGCACCAAACACACACGCACCAAAACACACACATGCACCACACACACACATACACACAGCCTCTCGTTCTCACACACTCCACGCTCCCGCATTATCGCACCTAAACACACACACACACGCACACACACATACACACACACACACACACACACACACACACACACCAAAACACACACGCACCACACACGCATGCACCACATACACATACCTACACACAGCCTCTCGTTCTCACACTCTCCACACTCCCGCATTATCGCACCTAAACACACACACACACGCGCGCGCGCCAAACACACACGCACCACACACACATACACAGACACACACACATACACACATACACACACACGCCAAACCCATAGCACGTCATACACGTTATGTCACTTCATAACCCAGCAAAAACTTGCGCTGGTGGCGGCACTTTGATACTAACTCGCTCCTTTTGTTAAGTGAGATGGCATTTGGAGTGGTGAGGATGTGAAACTTCTCCGTGAGGCACAGGCTGCATCGTTTGCTGATGTTGCTGTAGGATGGGGCGCGATCTTTTATTTTCCAGCTGATGTCAAAGTTGCGCTGGGCGTTCTGAAGGTCCCAAATATGCTTTGAGAGCTCCGTCGATGTAGAGTATTTCTCATGCCGGAATGTTGTGGAGTGGTTGTTGTAGCGCGATTTAAAGGTGTTGGCCGTCAGTCCGGTGTATGTCTTGGTCTGGGGAGATGACACATGTGCCTGGTATATGACGTCAGTCGACTGGCATTCCCCCTTGAGCGGGCAGGATGGCTTGACCCGGCAGTTACAAGGCTCAACGGGCGGCCTTGGCTGGAGCTTCGCAGCGTTGTGACCTTTGATGATGGAGGCTACGTTTCTCATGCAGCTGTAGCTGATTTTTATCTTATTTTTGTTGAAGATCTTATTCAGTGCCGAACCCTTTGGAAAATGCTTTTTGATGAGGCCCAGGAACCTTGCACCAACGTTGGTTCTGACCGTTGTGCTATAGGGCGGGTTAAACCAAATCACATCTCTGCTACGCCGCTTCCTTCTTTTCCTTTGTTCCGGTTCGTCACTGTATGCCATGGTTCTTGGATGTCCGCTTGCTGCCAGGGCGTCCTCATATACGGGCTTGGCATCATTAAAGACGTCTTCATTACAAGATATCCGCTGAAGACGCTTGTTAACGCCAATCGGGATCTGCTTCAATACTTGTGGCGGGTGGCAGGAGCTGACATCAACATATACTGGAGTGCTATTTGGTTTTCTGTACGGCTGAAAGGTACCGGTGTTGAGGTTCATTGATATGTCGAGGTAATCGACGACCTTTCTGTTAGCGTCTATTGTAATCTTCAGGCCGTGTGTTTGGAACACCTGGATTATCTCCTTACGCAAGCGGTCAGCTCCATGGCCGGTGGCATCCTTGACTATGGCCAGACCATCGTCTCGGTACAACCCGACACATTCCTCGCCTAGAAGTGGGCGGAGCTTGCTGAGCATGAAGGCTCCTACAAGCTCACAGGCCTCAGCTCCATCGTATGAGCCCATAGTTACGTCGAAAGATCCATCCTTCTCCTTCTTTACCCACGCTTGTCCTTTGTGGAATAACAGCGATTTACGGCAGTGCAATATGATGTCTGTTTCTTTTTCGGATATTGTGGCAAACGTCTTCGCGTAGTCGAGAGCTTGCAGCAGGAGGTCTTCCGTAATAGACGGGTAGAAGTCCACAATGTCAAACACGATGAATGTGAATCTTGATTTGTTTTCGATCGCCTTGAACCAATTGATCACTTCTGAGGTGTTCTTCCACAAATTCTTGCAGACATCGTTGCGCATGGGGCCGATGATACCGTCGATTATGTCCTTGCTGACCACGCCCACCTCTGACTTCGCTGGGTTTATCAGCCTGCATGGCAGGCTCTCTGCAAAGCCATCTTTATGGTCCTTTAAAGTTACAAACGCTTGCGCCTTGGCGAGACACTCCATTCGGTCTTCCAGTTGGAGGTCGACGGCAATCGCTTTTGCTTCAGCGTTGATGTCCGCGTATGTATTGTCGGGAGCGAGCTTGTATTTTTTCGTTATGTTTTCGCGCATCAGCTTTTCATACTGGGGGACTGGCACACGGTACAAGTTTCGAGTCTTGTCTGCTGGTACAACTATCTCGGCGCCGTCCTTGATCAGCTTGATGTCCTTCCTCATTTTGTCCTGGAGCTGGTAGCCTTTAAATCGCGCTACAACAACCACTCCACAACATTCCGGCATGAGAAATACTCTACATCGACGGAGCTCTCAAAGCATATTTGGGACCTTCAGAACGCCCAGCGCAACTTTGACATCAGCTGGAAAATAAAAGATCGCGCCCCATCCTACAGCAACATCAGCAAACGATGCAGCCTGTGCCTCACCGAGAAGTTTCACATCCTCACCACTCCAAATGCCATCTCACTTAACAAAAGGAGCGAGTTAGTATCAAAGTGCCGCCACCAGCGCAAGTTTTTGCTGGGTTATGAAGTGACATAACGTGTATGACGTGCTATGGGTTTGGCGTGTGTGTGTATGTGTGTATGTGTGTGTGTCTGTGTATGTGTGTGTGGTGCGTGTGTGTTTGGCGCGCGCGCGTGTGTGTGTGTGTTTAGGTGCGATAATGCGGGAGTGTGGAGAGTGTGAGAACGAGAGGCTGTGTGTAGGTATGTGTATGTGGTGCATGCGTGTGTGGTGCGTGTGTGTTTTGGTGTGTGTGTGTGTGTGTGTGTGTGTGTGTGTGTATGTGTGTGTGCGTGTGTGTGTGTGTTTAGGTGCGATAATGCGGGAGCGTGGAGTGTGTGAGAACGAGAGGCTGTGTGTATGTGTGTGTGTGGTGCATGTGTGTGTTTTGGTGCGTGTGTGTGTTTGGTGCGTGTGTGTGTGTGTGTGCGTGCGCATGTGTTTAGGTGTGATAATGCGGGAGTGTGGAGTGTGTGAGAACGAGAGGTTGTGTGTGGATTAGTGTGTGTGTGTGTGTGTGTGTGTGTGTGTGTGTGTGTGTGTGTGTGTGTGTGTGTGTGTGTGTGTGTGTGTGTGTGTGTGTGTGTGTGTGTGTGTGTGGATGAGTGTGCGTGTTCATGTTTCACCCAGCACCTGAGATGTTGATTCTGGCACGTCAGAGCGTACTGCCTCTGGGAGGTGTTGAATGATTATCATATTGTCTGCACTGAATTATTCTATCTCCTCTGCTTGCCTTCATATACCTGCGTTTTTTCTAATCTCCTTATGTTGTCTGATGATTGGTTTTTGCCATGAAACTCTGAGTTACAACAAAAACAGCCCTATATACTTCCTTTTGTGTACCTCTTGCGTACTACGCTCTGCCCATTCCGGGCATTTGAGCACTATTGCAGGTTAAGGCGCACACCCTCTGTATACAGTAACTATAACCTTCACATCCTCATATTTACACCTGTCCATATATGACATTAGAATAGCATGCTGCGTACTACTTCCCGTACTACCGGTACCTTTTCTAGTACTCACATATTGTACAACTTTACACACCAAGATAAAATAACAAGGATGACAGCCCTTCAGGGTTAGTTGTCGGTTAGCCGGACAAGAGTGGGTTGTTGGTGTGTCCTCCCCTAGGCCCTTCACAGAAACATAGAAGAGATCAAGCAGATGGAATCAAGAGTAAGTAAGAGATGGATGTCCGATTTTAATTTATCCGTAAAAATTATTTTTTGCCCGCAAAAATATGTTAAGGGGCCGGTCACACTGAGGGAAAATTTGAAAAAAAATTCGTGGTAACCATGGATAGTAAG